ATATGAAATAGATTCTGTCTAGAGCAACTACCCCCAGTGCTATATGAGAAGTGGTCTTTGTTCATTGTCAAGTAGCTGGATCCTGGCAGAGCAAAAGATGCAGAAGGACCTCTTTGGGTAACTCAGATAAAAAGTCAGGACTTCAGGGACAATGGATGAAAGGTACGCAACCCTCACACTACGGGAAAAAAGTTGGCTATTCTTGGGTTAAAAGCTGGTGAAAAAATCCCCCGTTTTTTGGGTGACTTTTTACCAATCGACCCAAAAATCACCAACAAGATCACCGGTTTATCACCATAAGATCCCCCATATCCCCCACATACGACCATGATTTCACCAAAAATCGCCAACGAGATCACCGGTTTATCATCATAGAATCATCATTATCACCAAGTTTTCCCCCAAATACAACCATGATTTCACCATAATCACCCATGGCATAACAACTATATCCCCAGGTCATTACACAGTGGGTGTGGGTTATACATTGGTGATGGTGGCCATCCCATGTTACCATAGCACCATGCAATGGGAGTTCAAGTCGACCGGAGTGGACAAGTGCCAGTAGTAATCCATTGGGGTATGCAGCCTGTGCCGGTGCCACTTGTACAGTGAGCACTCACACCCCTCCATCATGCCCAACACACATACGACTATGGTATTGAATCGCAAAATACTGCGATTGGGAAGGTTAGATGCCCATGTTGCATATACAAAATCTCGAGAATTCCACTGTTTCTGTCACTGGCGGAGTTTGCTTTAACATAGCTACCTGCTTCGTTCATGCATCCAGCAGCTTCATTGAAGTGTTGTAATGACAAGGAGTATAAGAAAAGTAGTGTATTGATGCTGTAAAATCATTTAAACTGCACCTTGAGGGCTAGAGTCATAAGGGTGTTTTCGGGTTATTAAGGTGATATTTGGGTGATAGCATTCACCCATCATTCACCCAAATCCTCTTTAGATCACCAATGGTTAAAGGTGGGGTATTTAGGTTGTATTTAGATGATTTGCTGTAACCGGAAAATGACCAGCGGTAACCAAAGGTGATTTCTTGGGGAAATGGATGAAAAGCAGGGGATACAGTCACCTTCTTTTCACCCATATCACCATTGGGGGTTTATTGGCGATGTTGGTTGTAATCTGGTGAAAAGATCACCCAAATTTAACCCATCAAATTGGTGATTGCAAAAATCACCCATATTTCACCAATATCACCGAGTATTCACCTTTTTCACCCAAATTTTTCCCGTAGTGTCACTTTTATGTCATACATTGCTAGCTAACGGCCACTTTTGTCCATTCCCAACTTTTGTGCATTCTATTGTAGGTGGACGGTGCTCCTGCTCTAGACATTCACTTCCATGATTAAAGTAGGTTGATCCGAGCTGATTTGGTTGAGTTACGCTCACACAAGATTACATCGGTTGAGCTACATCGAGCGTGCTTGATGTCCAGAGTGGTGTAATCTCTCTTTGACCGCAGCTCAGTCAAATCAGCTCGGATCAACCTACTCTAATCATGGAAATGAATGTCTAGAGCAGGGGCATCGTTCCCATGCAGTGGATCTCGCAACAATGATGATTGGATAAAAGTGACCGTTAGCTAGCAATACATGCCTGTTCCTAGATGATCCATAAAGTAATTAAACATTGACCCTTTCATTCATGCAAACGTAGCTGTGTTACACAACACGACCCTCTGCATCTTTTGCTCTGCCAGGGTCCAGCGACTTGACATTGAACGATGACCACTCTTCATATAGCATCACGCTTACAAACATAAAGGTGCCTGTATCTCCAAACTTTACAATCAAATGTGGGGTTTTGAATAGAGCAATGGACTCGGCTTGGCCAACAGCACCTTGTGTGAAAGTTTCGCGTTCAATGTCGCAAACAGCCCAAAAATTATTTTTTGGTCGTCGTCGTCGAAGAGGTCGACCCCCAGATCCAATTTGGCTGGTGGCGACATTGGCCAAATCTCGGATTGGCGAACTTGATCGCCAAACTTCTACACAGGGTGTTTTCGACCCTGGCGAGCAACATTGTTCGATTATTGACCCCATGGTTCATTGTAAAGCTTTGAGATACGAGCGTCCTTATGTTTTACATATGCTTTAAGCGTGATGGTATATGGAAAGTGGTCTTCGTTCACTGTCAAGTAGCCAGAGATGCAGCAGGGCTTGTATGTGTAACAAAGCGCAGAGCGTAGGACTTCCAACAAGCTCAATGCTGCAGGTGGACAAATGTAATCACCACATCACTATTTCCACTCGCGTCGTACTAGCCATATGCACCTACATCTTATTGAACTTCTTATCGAACTCACATTACCCAAACTTGTGTACAAATATATGGCTTCATCATATCCTTTATTCACTGCTATTTATGATCGAAATAAGCTTTTAAATCCATGCCCACAAAAGCAAGCTACATAATGGTGCCTTTAGCTAATAGTCATTGAGTTGAATTGTCTCTGTCACATCTTGACGTATCCAGATACTGGTGAGGATGACCAAATGAATGATACGGTTGACATGTGTACCATTGGTGTGTGTCACCATCTTGGCATGATGAGCCCGCGGAGTCGTAGGATAAGCATTCATTAGTAGAGGCGCAGGCTATACAAGACATCTCTTTACCTAAACCCTTCTGTCATGGAAGCACAGCGAATTCGAGACGGCGTCAAGGCAATGCATGACGGCGATAAGGCGTAAGCAATTGTGTTCATTCCATGTGTGTTGTTCTCTTGTGATGACCGTGACATTCGTTAGCTCTTCAAAAGGTCTTTTCCGCAAACCAGACTGGGACATTGCTTCGGGATGTTACGACCAAGCAGGTAAGCATGGCTTGAAGAGGGGGTGGGGAAATAAGAAGGAAGGAAGAACAAGGTAGACTAACTATGATATCACGTATAGCCACCTGCTTCAAACTTGCAAAGTCTTATGACCAAGCTGTCCAAGCGTACATGAAAGCGTCCGAGGCGTTCTTTAAGGCTGATGCGTGAGTGTTGGTGATGGAAACAGCCATATGTGTGATACTGATACAAGTGAATGTAGCACGCATCTTGCAGGAAAGGCCCTGGAAAGTGGAGCATTGATTGTCGCCCAAAACATGAATCAACCCCAACGAGCAGCTGAAATGTATCAACGTGCCAGTGATTTATTTATGACGGCAGGTAAGAACAGGAAAAACATACGCCTATGATTCGTGAAAGGTATTGATCGCGCTATGTGTATAGGAAGCATTGATCGCGCTGCTGAACAATTACAAAAGGCTGGCAGGTACAGTGCTTCGCATAGGATTGAATGAAAATGGATTGGAAACTGATACGTGGGGATGATGATGATAGAGCATTGGAAAATACGGATGTCAATGCTGCAATCGAAATGTACAGCGCAGCTTGTGGACTTTATGAACAAGAGGATCGAGGACGTATGGCGATTGATATCTTCAAAAAGGCTATTTCTTTGCTTATCCAAAGCAAAAAGTAAGATGGCAGTATATTGGAATGTGGATCAAAAGTCTTAACGGATACGTAATTGATAGATACGAAAAGGCAGTGGACATGTTGCATCGACAATTGGCGGTGCTTCGCAAGCTTACAAATCGCTCACATGTATGCAAGGCCAATTTGAGTGTTATGATCGTGCTCTTTGCAATTGGTGATGAAGTGGAAGCAGGAAAGCAGTTCAATATGATGTGCAAGTAAGTTATCTTGGTTGATGGATAAAGGATGTTGAAGGTTACTAATTCAAGACAACTAGTACCGATCCTGGATTTGCTCAAAGTGAAGAAGCTGATATTGGACAAGCCTTATTGCAAGCCTATGAAGAGGGAGATCAAGAGTTACTTGAGCAGACAGTGCGAAGACAACACATTTCGTTCCTTGATAATGAGGTGGCTAAACTATCCCGAACATTGACCGTCCCCGGTGAAATGTTATCCAGTGGTATGGGTGCACCACCCTCAGTCACCAGCAGTACCAATGCAAGTTACGCGTCTCGTCCTCCAAGTTCAAGACCTCCACGAGCATCTCCAGCAGCAGGAGCAACACCTACAAGCGATATTCATGCCATGTCACCTGCTCAAGTGCGTGCCGAGTTGTATAGTACACCATCATCCAAGAAGGCACCCCAACAGCCAACCACGACTCATCCTCCACCTCCTCAACCTGCACCAGCTGCTGAATATCAACAACCCACTCCTCAAGATCTCGATGAGGAATTTGCACGATTGAACATGGATAAGCCTGTAAATGAAAAGAAGCCACCAGCACCAGTAGTTGATGATGATGATTTCGATGATCTGCGTTAGAATGATTGGGGGGGGAATACAACAAACAATAAACAACCACATGCCTTTGTTTCAATGCGAAACACGCCATTGGATTCGGGAACTCAAAAACAGCTGCTTTAAATTCTCTCACATCCCCTCGTCTTTTTATTCCTTCACTCCTTTTCTTTTCCCAATACCTAAACATATCAACCATGTCTGCCACTCATCATCATCATCCTGGAGATCATTCCTCTGAACCTCGAGATCCAATCATGGAAGATGATCACTTTTCTTTAAGATATGGAAATCCTATCCAAGTGATCCATGATCGACCCAAACCCCACCAAGAGTCGTTTGAACCAAGCAAAGAGCATGCCCCTGCTACCTTATCTTCCGTTGTTAATACCACTACAAACTTGCAACCGCCAAAGGAACCAACGATCAAGAAAGCCCCTAGCTTTGAACGTGATTGTACAAGCTTTGCCGAGTTCGTTCATAAAGGCGGTATCGTTAGCGAGATTGATCACTGATGTTATCCATTGTATTCTCTTCCCTTATCCAACTTTATCATATACTTGTATAAATAACAAGTCGAATGATTTAAAATGGTCGTACCCGAGTGTGTGTAATAGCCCTGTACCCGGGTGGATGGATGAGCATGTGCTCATGGCGATATAAATCATGTCACCCAATAAGCCTGGATATCTTCCAAGGCCACAATGTTAGCATTTATTTGAGAGATACATCATTACTATGTAGCGAAGAATGATGAAAATGGCGTGGGATGACACTTGTGTAAAGGGGAGCAGCTGCGACGTGTGCATGATAGTGCGTGCGGTGCGTGCGGGAAGGTAATTTCCAAAAGCGGGTCAATCTTTCACTTGCACTACTTTGACTCTCTTTCTCTCTTTCATTTTCACAATGAGCGATCACAAAGAAGCTGTCGACGAGTTCACCCACGACATTGCCATTGAGATATCCCGTGCACTCAACATTACCAATCCAAACGACTTGTTGGCCAAACGAGTCATTCAACAGGCGAAAAACAACAAGTTTGACAAGTTTGCCGATGGTATGCAATGCCTTCCCGAATAGAAGAAAAAGACAATCCACTCACTACTCGATATAGCATGCCAGACATTTGGTCGATTCAAGCGAGAGTTCTTGCTGGAGATTTACACAAAGATCACCAACCACTTGAAGGACACGGCCTTCACTAGTCAAGAAGGTACCGCTGTACGCTCAGCAACCGATGGTCAACGTGGCGAGGTCTTGATGCTAGGGAACAACCTTCCTGGAGGCCTTATCAGTCGCAACAAGTCATCCAAAACAGACGACGTAAGCATTGAACAATGAGGATAGAGGAGAGCTACGTCAATTGACTCAAATGATATAGCAACGGCCCATTTTCAAAGCTCCCGAACCCAAGGCATCCGTATTTGGTCTTGACAAGTTGGCTGAAAAGAAACGTGCTGCAAAGAAGGCCGAAGAGCGTGCGCAAAAGAGAGTCAAAGTATCTTATTGGGATGATGAAGAAGGGGAAGAGAACAAAGATGATACAGGTAAAGAAAAGGAGACAATGGATGCATGCGGTTGGTGATTCATTCTATTCCATGTATATTCAGAAATCACCAAAAGTCGACCCAAGTATCGAGGAAATCATTTGGAGCCAGCATCCCCTGATCGCCGTGATGATAGACGTCGCAGGGACGATAGAGACAAGCGTAAGTGTTGAAAACGGATAATGATGTTGTGATGAGAAGCATTAATAGATGAGGGAAATGATTAGATCGATCAAGCAGACGTCATGATGATTCGCGATCGAGTCGCCGTGATCAAGAGAGTAGTCGACGAGAATATGATGATCGATCCTCCAGCAACAGACGTGATGAACGACCGCATACACCAGCATCAACACCAGGACGTGATGGCTCTGAAACACCTCGTCGTGGCGGTTTGATTAAACGAAGTCAATGGGCATCAATGACACCTCGAAGTCGTATGGAGCCTCCTACACCACAACGATCCACCAATGGACGTAGTACAGATAGCGGCTTGGGTCGATCCATTGGAAGTCGATCGACATGGGACTCTACGCCTTCCATTCGATCCAGTGTATATGATGAAGTAGCCTTGGAATACCCTGAGGAATATCCTGGTGATGAAGAAGATCGAAGGAGGTGGGAAGAGGAACAAGCACAATTGGATCGAGATTGGTACTCGATGGAAGAATCAGGGGTAAGTACAAAGGAAACAAAAGAGACAAGGTTAGGTGGATTAACATGGGATGATGTTTAGGCTATGGATGAGACACACAATCCGTTTGCAGAATACGAGGCAACGACCAAATTGCAGGATGAATCATTGGAACAAAAGCAGATCAAGAAACTCTCTGCTCGACAAGCTCAATACAACAAGGACACTGAAATGTGGGAGACAAGTCGAATGTTGAGTAGTGGTGTTGCCCAACGTCGTGAAGTGGATACGGATTTTGATGAAGATAGTGAGGTAAGTATTTTGAATCGGGAATGAGAGATGCTGGTATTAAGAATCGAGCTATCGTAGAACCGAGTCCATGTTATGGTGCATGATATCAAGCCTCCTTTCTTGAGTGGACGTGTGGTGTTTACAAAGCAGCTGGAGGCTGTTCAGCATGTTCGTGATCCAACTTCAGACATGGCAATCTGTGCCAAAAAGGGAAGCCGACTTGTACGAGAAAAGCGTGAGCAAGCTGAGCGTGCCAAGGCAACCAAGTTTGAGTTAGCTGGTACCACTCTGGGCAATGTAATGGGCGTAAAGAACAATCCAAATGAAGGTATAATTCGATATATATGAATATGAAAGGAGAAGCTAATAATATTGTATCTCGTTGATAGAGGAACAGCAAGATGAATCAACGGGCGATTCCAAGTTTGCATCTCATCTCAAAGCGTCTGAAGCATCCAGTGACTTTGCAAGGACCAAATCTATGCGAGAACAAAGAGAATTTTTGCCAGTGTTTGCCGTCAGAGAGGATCTCTTGCGTGTTGTCAGAGACAATCAAGGTATGATATGGGATTAGCGTTGATTGCATTGATCACATTCTTACATTTGATGATAGTGGTCATCATTGTTGGTGAAACTGGTTCAGGCAAAACTACTCAACTGACACAGTACCTGCATGAAGATGGTTATACAAAGTATGGAAAGATTAGCTGTACACAACCTCGTCGTGTGGCAGCAATGTCCGTGGCCAAGCGTGTTGCCGAGGAAGTTGGGGTAAGGTCTTGTTTTGACAGCATTGGATATGTAATAGTTACTCAACATGGTCTTGTAGACTAAGCTTGGTGATCTCGTGGGTTATTCAATCCGTTTCGAAGACCAAACATCCGAGAATACAATGATTAAATGTGAGTGTCCGATTCTTTACGGCATCTATCATATGACTTACCCAGTTTAATAGATATGACGGATGGTATCTTGCTTCGAGAATCAATGAACTCTCCCGATTTGGACCAATACAGTGCTATCATTATGGACGAAGCTCACGAACGTGCATTGAATACCGATGTGTTGATGGGTCTTCTTAGAAAAGGTAATGAAGAAATTCCCACTAATTAACGCTTTGTAAATAATAATGTATCTTTATGATAGTCATGGCGCGTCGAAGGGATCTCAAGCTTATTGTTACATCCGCTACCATGAATGCTGACAGGGTAAGCCAAGTCATTGTTGTATATGAACAAAAATACTCATATCCATAATACAGTTTGCCCAATTCTTTGGCAATGCACCTTGCTTTTATATACCCGGTCGAACCTTCCCTGTCGATGTCATGTTTAGCAAGACCCCATGCGAGGATTATGTGGATAGCGCTGTGAAGCAAACTCTTGCCATTCATCTTTCACAACCTGCTGGCGATATCCTAGTGTTTATGACTGGTCAAGAAGACATTGAAGTTACATGTACAGTATTAAAAGGTAAGTCATTCAGTGGGCTCAACAAATGACATGGCTAACAAGAATGATTATAGAGCGTCTGGAACAGCTCGAGAATCCACCCCCACTTGCCATCCTTCCCATTTATTCCCAGCTGCCAGCTGATTTGCAAGCCAAGATCTTTCAGCGGTCTGAAAACAATGCCCGAAAAGTGATTGTCGCCACAAATATTGCTGAGACGTCTTTGACCGGTAAGGATGACGATACGATTTTTATGTTGGAGGATAGTCGATTGACTCTGTATACTAGTTGATGGTATCATGTATGTGGTGGACACTGGTTATTGCAAGCTTAAGGTGTACAACCCTCGTATTGGTATGGATGCCTTGCAAGTGACACCTATTAGTCAAGCCAATGGCAATCAACGTAGTGGTCGTGCTGGTCGTACCGGACCTGGGTGAGTAATTTTTCGAGAACGAGAGGGAACCATGGTTTGGATGCTAATCATGTTGCTGTCATAGTGTTGCTTACCGCCTGTATACCGAAGAAGCTTATCGTACTGAAATGTTTATGAACACCATTCCTGAAATCCAACGTACCAACCTTGCAAGCGTTGTGCTCCAGCTCAAATGTCTTGGTGTCAAGAACCTGCTTGATTTCGATTTTATGGATCCACCTCCTCAGGTAAAAATGACTTGAACGCTCGATCTCGCTCATTTTTACTCATATGTCTGTTATAGGAAAACATCTTGAATTCCATGTATCAGCTGTGGATTTTGGGTGCGTTCGATAACAATGGTGATCTCACTCCTATTGGCCAAAAGATGAATGAATTTCCATTGGACCCATCGCTTGCCAAAATGCTGATTACGGCTGAGGAGCAAGGTTGTACAGCTGAAGTAGTTGTAAGTATTGGAGGATGAAGAGCGAGCGATTCATGATTTGCTCACGATATCATGTTCTACTTAGACGATTGTATCGATGCTTTCAGTGCCATCCGTATTCTATCGACCCAAGGAGCGTATGGAAGAGAGCGATGCAGCACGTGAGAAGTTCTTTGTACCTGAAAGTGACCATCTTACATTATTGCACGTGTATACACAATGGAAGTCAAACAAGTAAGTGGGGGAGGGGAAGTCGTACATTTTCCAAGGAAGAAATGGGTCATTGACGATGTTGTTCATTGTATAGCTATCGCGATGACTGGTGCAATAAGCATTTCATCCATTCGAAGGCTATGCGCAAAGCTCGGGAAGTACGATCACAGCTCATTGACATTATGAAGAGCGTAAAGATGCCCTATGTATCATGCAACACGGATTGGGATATCATTCGGTAAGTTTATCATCATACAAAGTGATTGTGTGCATTAAGCTCATTGGACATTGCCTGTAGTAAATGTATTTGTTCAGCTTACTTCCATCAAGCTGCACGTGTCAAGGGTATTGGCGAGTATGTCAACTGCAGAACGGGTATGAAGTGTCATTTGCATCCTACAAGTGCTCTCTTTGGTGCTGGTTTTACTCCCGATTATGTCGTATATCACGAGCTGGTGCTCACCTCCAAGGAATTCATGCAATGCGTCACCTCTGTGGATCCTTATTGGCTTGCCGAAATGGGCCCAATGTTCTTTTCCATTCGTGAACGTGATGTTCGTTAGTGGTATCATCATCAATGTAGATAAACAAGCATTCTCTCTCGTAAAGTTTTGGATATGAAAAAGTCATTGTATTGTTTAATGTGAGGATTGGCTATGAGATCATTTATGCAGAAGGGGGTTGTCATGGGAACAGCCACCCCCCTAACATCGTGGCTTGTTGCTGTGGCACACAGCATTCTCCTCAGCACAAATTGTCGTCACTTGTCATGCTGCCATATCTATATTCAAGGTTCACTTTAATACCTACAACGAGTCGCAATGTTGCTCGGCGGTTCTTTACATTCGAAGCCGGTGATTTCTGCATGTTGCGTGAGATGCGTTCGAATCGCAAGTACTTGATCGGACCCCTTGAAGAAGGAATGCAAAAGGATCACAAAGGTGGACGTATCAACCACGAAGACCTTATGGGCAAACCAATACGATCGATCGTTAGAACACACAATGGTAAGGGGCTATCTCTTTATTTGTATCGAGCAAGTCATTCATCAAGGGAAATGCCATGGTAGATGCATATGGATTTATGTTGCATAAGCCTACATTGGAGGAGTACGTTCTCAATGTACCACGAGCATGTACGCCTGTGTATACCAAGGATGCTTCCAGTATTGTAAGTAAGAAGGTGGCAAGGATATGGAAAAGGATATCGATCTCATGATGGTGGGTACAGGTACAAATGTTGGATATCGAACCTGGGAATCGAATTCTGGAAGCTGGAACGGGGAATGGTGCATTGACCTTGTATCTTGCACGTGCTGTGTCATCACAAGGACGAGTGGATACATTTGATATTCGAGAAACACATTCGAACGCAGCAAAGAAACATGTTCAACGATACGATCGAGGGCGATTCAAGGACGTTGTGTCATTTCATTTGGGTGATGTGGCAGATCATGTAACACAGCTTGTGGATAGCAACAACAATGACAAGGAAATCTTTGATGGGATCATGCTGGACATGCCCGAGCCAAACAAGACCATTGAATCACTCTTGCCTTATTTAAGGAATGATCGATTCATTGTATGTTATCTTCCCAACATGACACAAGTATTGGATTTGGTACAAGCGGCTCGAGGATTACCGGTGATGATGGAATCTTGTATCGAGACTGAATGGAAGGAATGGGATGTTCGAGCTACTCATATTCGTTCCACGGATGAAACAGCCTGGATATGTCGACCCAAGAACTTCGATGTCAAAGGACATACGGCATTCCTCACCAAGCTTAGGAAAACAGCATAATAAAGCAGCAGCTGAGATGTTTTCATCTTCCGTTCTATCGGCATTTCCATTTTCCCATATTGTGTATGCGTGTGTTTGCCTTGTGTATGTGCGTTTGTTTATGCATTAGGATATGCGCATGATTGCATTACACATGTCAAAATCACTATCCATATCGCGTATAGTACAATTCTTCCAATGAGACAAGGGGGATGCTGGACAGCATATGACAAGAGAGCGTAGATGTAATTTTGCGGGGGGTGTAAAGGTGGGGGGAACATCAGCGAATAAGATAAAGCTGTCTCAAGATGTGCATGGGCAATTGGATTCTTTTTCTTTTTCTTTTTCTCTCTCTCTCTCTCTCTCTTCCTCTTTGTTTCACTTTTCCACTCTTTCACACACACACACAAAAGACACGTCGAGTGCCTTTGTATTATAATGGCCAGCATATTATCCACTGCAGCACAACACGTTACCACACGACATCGATCATCCTCATCAGCAGCAAGCTTGCCTCGACCTGGTGAACCGCAACACACAAACCATCCTTCTCCTTCCCATACCCATCACCACGGTAATCGTCCTCGATCGGGATCTCGTCCACAATCGCGACCTCAGAGTCAGCATTCTCCATTATCCACAAGTGCCCCCATTGCGAATGGACCAGCACCCATTCACCAACTCGAACAGCACCAAAACTTCAATCACTCGGTGGATACCCTTGGCAGTTCGAGTAGTATTGACAGCCAGCTACCTGCTGAAACCACATTAACAATTGAATTCGATGGTGGTACACACGTCATTGTTCGTCCCAATCGGGTAGTCCGAGGTAAAACTATTTACACTTGTTCAAGGTTGCATCACATTGACTCACTCATCATCCATCCACTATTACAAAGGCAAAGTCATTCTCGACGTCGCTGAGCGCATGCTGGTGACACGTATACGGATCAAGGTAATATCATGAGATACGAAACCATGTGGCACAAATTGATCGCTGACTTTAATGCATATGACGACATGATGATTAGTTCAGGGCTGAGGAATCCGCTATGGTCAAGGTCGAAGAAGGTGGAGGCGATACGCGTGGTGAATGGATCCATCAAGCTATTACCACATTCTTTGAATCAGATTGGAAGTTGTGGGGAAATGAAGCAAGTTGTAAGTGGTGGCATTGATATTTGTGTTTGTTTCGGTTGATTCATTTTCCTTCCCTCTCGCCCTTTCATTATCTTTAGATTATTCACAATGCCCTTGGGAAGAGATGGATATTGGTCATTATGAATTCCCATTCGCCTTAAAGGTATGTGTATACGATACAAGGGTCTCATACATAAATACTTATATCGACTCTAGTTCCCCAATGTCAATTATCCACCCAGCATGGAAGATCCCGCGGGATTTGCTATACGCTATGTTTGGACCGCACAAGCTGATGGACCTGCATTACAATCTGGAATCAAGAGCCGGGAATACATTACGCCTTATCGACCCATCATCATATCTACGCCAGGTAAAAAAGAAAGGAACGGAACACGGAAGCGGGGTCGTAAAGGGGGAGACAAGGCGATGAGTTTATCCGTTCAGGCTCAGCCAACAAGAAAACTTACGCTATGATGATCATCCATAGATAAAGAATGGACCTATCGCAAGACGTTGATGAAGGATAAAAAACATGCCATTGCGGAGGTACAAGCCAAACTTTACAAGCAATCTTATTGCCCAGGTAACAAGGGACATGGAAATGGAATAAACAACAGCGGCATAATAACTAAACCATCTTTGGACATAGATGAACCCTTTGAGATGCAACTAAATATGACGACATTACACGCCGACGCAAAGATCGCTGCCATCGAGTACAAGTTTAGAAAGCATCATGAAGGCAAAATGCTGGTACAACAAGGCACGGCTTTTCGAGAACACATTCGTACCGTCATCCACAGCACAGTACCTATCCCCAGCAGCAATACGCATCATGGCACGCAAGTAGCAGAAACGGTGATCTTTGACGTGCCCACACGATTAGTGTCACCATCATTCATTTCTCGTCATACGCGTGTGCATTATGGATTACAATTCCTGGTGACGATTGAACAAGGCCATTTATTCAAAAACACCACCGTGGTGGACTTTTCAATCCCAATCATCATTGCCAACCTTCCTCATGATAATCTTCTTCGCATTCCCGATCTTACGGTGATTCAAGGCTATCGAGAATCAAAAGAGTGTCCCGTCTTTTTCGATCCATCACTCGATGAACCACCAAGCCCATCCATGAACAATGGCCCATTATCAACGCCAATGAATGAGGAACCACCCAATTACTATACTTTACCTATACAACCACCTCAATTCCAGCTTGGAAAAGAACGTAAAGAACGCACGGTCTTTTTAACTCGTCCTGCCAAAGGTGCATTGCATAGCCAGGAGATGTATCCTGCTGTCATTATCCAAGGTCTCTTTGATGAAGACTGGTAAACACCTCCTCCTCCTCCTCCTACACATCTACACCTGCTTTCCTTCCTTCATCCCACCCCCCCTCCCCCGATGGCGCCATACAATTACGAAAGCGTGGGACGATAAATGCGAAAAAGGGAACGGAGGGAGGGGGAGTAAGAGACCGGGCCCAG